TTTATTTATTCGTTTTGTTATTTTTCTTAAATTTATGTATATACTTATAGTTGTGCTTAACGCTTATTATGTTCATCTACATTTCTGTGAGGATTTTAATGAAAAACGTTGATCAAAGGCACAGAAAAGTTCGTGAATTTTCAGAGTCCAAGGACACACAAGCTTTGGATGTCACCAAACTCTGGCAGCTATTTTCTCCCTAGTTTTACCTCTGACACAGGCGACTTTCACCTCCTTCAACAGCAAAAAGCTTGACATATAATCGACATGAAAGACTAGTATTGGTTGTTATGTAAAAAAAAAAGATCAATAAACAAGCTTAAGGAAGGTACCAACAGATAATAAAAAATAAATAATAATAAATAGCATTTGTATAGCGCATATCCCTGCTCAACAGCAAGCTCTATGCGCTTTACACTATATTATTAACCCAGCAGACCATAGAAGACTCCGAAACATTCTCAGCCTCCCGGGAAGCATACAGTGCAAGCAGCCGATCAAGCGCTCAAACACTAACAAACTGACGAGATCTTTCGCTGTCTATAGCCGGGTACCCATTCCCACCTGGTGAGGTGAGGAAAACTCGTATAAAGTTCCTTTCCCAAGGACACAACGTCGGGCCCCTGACGGGATTCGAACCCACGACCTTACGGTTGCGAGTCCGAGAGCCTAACCACTAGGCCACCGACGCCACGTTTTGATAACGTCAAGTGGCCACAGACTGACGAACGCCTGATTCCCCAGTGCCGTGACGACACTAGCCTACATTTTGTCATCAAACACAACAGGTCAAGCAAACTGTGAGATTCTAGAATACACTTGATCTATTAGACCTCACATTACCATGGTAGTCTCTCTTTATTCACGAAAAAAACCCCAAATAAACACACAAACCACAAACAAATATACAAACAAATATACAAACTAACAAATAAACAAACAACAAACAAATATACAAACAAATATACAAACAAATATACAAACAAATATACAAACAAATATACAAACAAATATACAAAAAAAAAATACAAACAAACAACTACACTAACAAGCAACAAACAAACAAACAAACAAGCAAAGACGTGATCGCAAAGTGTACTACGTCATTACTCCCAAATAAGGCGCAGAATTGTTTCATTTCAAGAGAAGTAATCCCGTCTTTTTCAACAATAGTTCTTGTTATCGCACATCGTAAGAACGCACACGTTTTGCTATAAGTGTAAGCACACAGCACCCCCCC